CTCAAAAAACTCTTCTAGGCTTAGAATAAATTTTAGGACATTTATGATATTTGTATTATAATCAAATCCTATGCTCCCCCCACTTAAAAAAAAAGAAAGAAGGAATAAAAGACACTCTTCCAATGATCATCTGCTTCATTGTCTTAAAACATTTCTATTTTAGGTATATTTTAGAAATATTTGCCAGTGAACTAAAAAGATTTTGACATTTATACCTTCCTTAGGTGTAAGCTGTGATCTCATCCTCAACAACTTCAGAACTAGCAACTTTCAACTGTTTCCCCGGTCATTCAGTCTGTAAGACTCAGTGCCCATTGGGGACATGGTCATCTCAGCCTCCTGTCCTAGTGATCTTATTGTGCAGCTCATACAGAAATGTCTGTGCTGATTGATACTCAGACTGTCTGTGCACTGCCTTACTGTGTCTAGCACGTGTGACATAACACAGGCTTTTAGATGTTTTGTTATGAAACAGCTTCTTTATAAATCTCTTCATTACTCATTTTTGTTCTCAAAAAAGCTCTTTAATTGAAACTGTGGTTTCCCGATCTCACTGCCTGCACTGCCCCACCTGTGCCCCTAGGGCTGGTGGCTGCACTGCTACCTAGCACCTGGAGCCCTGCTCCCCGAAGTCCCTCTCCTGAATGTGAGGCATACTCTCTGGAAACTGTTCCCCTCCCCCAGCCCCTGTGAAGCTGTGGATCCCTGAAATACAAATGATAAAATATAGATCTCATTTACCTGACATTTTAAGTTAATTAGATATTTTTCTTGATAGTTTACATATTGAAATTTTTCAAGACAACAATATAGAAAGATTTTTACTTCAGAGGTTGGCAAAAGTCAACATAGCATTTTATAGTAGAAGGTGTAAAAGTGGGAAAGTGCTTTATTTTTATGATTTTTTTAAACTTCTTTATTCTAATTAACACAATTTTTTGTAACTACATTTAACTACCTTTATATTCTAAGCTTAAAAGTAAGTATTTGTTCTTTTGTTTTATTTTTGTTTGTTTTGTTTTTGTTTTTTCCTGAGCTTGAAAACAATCAGGAATAATTCTCAAAAAAAATTTGGCTTTAAAAATATTTTATCCTGTTGTATTTTGTTCAGATTACTTGGGAAGTAGTACAGAGGAGAAGGGACTATAAAACCGATTTATTTTTATTTGCTAGAAAAAGCTGCTGTTTTCCACTGGCAGATGCATGAACAAGTAGCAAGGCCCTTTCTCAATGACAATAATTTTTGTTTTGAAGCTCATAAATCCAATGACACACCATCCATGGCCATACTGTTGATAATAAGTGTTAAACTGTCTCTCTCATGAAACCTCAGCTATTCAGTCCTGAATATTCAGTCTCTCTTATCGTTTAATTTGGGGAAACCTCCTCTTGGTAGATTCAATGCCTGGTCTCCCTTGTTGTAAAATTAAACAGTTAAGTTCTGCATCAGTTTATCTGCACTGTGACTAGATCATTTCAGACTTGCTGAGTTTTGAGTCCTCTTTAGAAATGGTGATTCCTCTTTCTGCATCTGATTTTAAGTGCAAATGTTTTTGTCACAGTCCGTGCCTGTGCCTGAAGAGAAAGACTGGTGGGAGCAAGGTGGGAGGGACAGCTCTGTGGTGACAGRAGGGGCTGTTTGTAGAATGACATAACAGCAGAAAACGACCTGGGGAGACAGGGAGGGGGCTCTTAGAGTAAGCCAAACAGAAGGGGACAGACTCCCGATGCACTTTGCAGGTCACAGGACTCCATAACAGACTATGCATGCCCCTGGGAGACAGGCCTCAAGGGCATGCCAGCCGATACTCCACCCCTACCCCCACTGCCACCCCTGGCTGCTAGGTCTTTGTGTGCCCCCTGCTCTGATGCTCCCGGGCTTTTGCTGCACCCGAGGAGCCAAAGTTTGAGGCTTGAAATGTAGAGGAAAAGCCAGGGAGAAACAGATTGGAGGGGAAATCAAAGTTCTGTCCACCGTATGTTATAATGTGATATCCCAGATTGATGACACTCTAGAAGTACCTTCAGGAAATTTTTTAGGAACTTTAGTCAAATAACAGTGATGCCAGAGACATTCCAGATAGAAACATTTCCTTATTGCTTCACATAAGGAGACACAGATCTTCCCGACTTGTATGTCCTGCATCCAGTGGTGAATCAGCAACATTTTCTTAGCCCAGAGGGGATGATATCAGGGTCTGTCAGCTCAGTACTATGACATTTGGATGGGGTGATCCTGGGTGGTTTGTTTGTTTTATGCCTGGGCAGTGGGGAGGGTGCTCAGTACCCTATAGGATGTTTAGCAGCATCCCTAGTCCACGAGATGACAGCTGTGGAAACCACAAACCTCACGACAGCCCAGAGAGCCTTGGGGACAAGATCATTCCCAGTTGGACCACAAGCTTGCGCTAAGCAACAGAACTCTCTCCRTGAGGCCAGGGGTGGCAGGATGGCACTCAGCCGTGCACTCGAGTTCTTTATCTTGTACTCCCAGGACAGGTAGGAAATTCTAAATGTCTGCTGCCTGTTTCTGATAGAACAGACAAGCGTTCTGAATTCATGTCTGACTTAAATGTCAACAAAGCCATGTAGCCATCACTTGATGCTGGACCGCAGCCTCTTGTGAACCCACTAACTAGATCTCTGAATCGTGCAACCCTTCTCCATTTCCAGGACTTTTAAATGGAACAAAAATTGGATTTTGTCATCATTCTTGGGTTTTATTGATACATGCCTGTTTCCATTCTTTTAGTTCTCTCACCATCTCTGATTTAATCACAAGTGGCTAAGGGCGAGGGGTGGGAGGAGTGACCAGCCTAGTGTCCGTAAGGCGCTTGACCCAGCTTTTAGTGCAACTAGAAGTCTTTCACATGCCCGGTTCAGGAGCTACTGAATGTCTAATTTATGTAATCTCCGTAGTACAACAAAGGATCCCAGCCCACTGCCACCGGCTTATTGCTAGCTGATCCCTGGGGACAGGGGCAGAGTGCTGCATCTCTCTCCAGCTGCACTGCTACCCTGAGACATAGTGTGATGGCATTTTTGCTTTGCCTCTGACAAAACTGAAACAAAGATAAGTGTCTTTCAGTAGGTCATGTGTAACTAATAAGTAACAGGACCGGGATGGGAGGACCAGGATGGGAGCACCAGCCACCGCGCCCCTAGCTGCGGCCACCAGTGGATTTTCTACAGAGCACTAGGCTACATTCAGGTCCTTGGTCACAAACCACACCTTTTGGTCTTCACCTGTCATCTTYAAAGCACCTGCTTTGGCCAGAAACATAGACCATGAGTGTAACTCCATCACTTGGAGCGGTTCAGAGGACTGATAGGAAAGTTCAGTGACTACAGCGCATATCCCACAGTTACAGATGATAGACTCAGTACAAACAACACAGGTTTGTCATCTTTAGGCTGTTAGGGGCCTCAGGGAGCTCCTCCTCTGGGACCTGGGGCATGTCCATTTCCTCGCCCTTCCCAGCTCCTGAGGCCCCCCACGTTTCCTGGCTGTGACTCTCCCCACAGCCACCTGCAAAGTCAGTGCCACTGCCTCTCACTGACCACTCACAGCATCCAGGCTGATGCCCAACCTTTCCCTCTGACGTGGGCCTCCCGGGATTCCCTACCTCAGCCTCTTAGGACCTTTTCACAAGGTGAAGAGCACATTAATCATGACTTCATTCTTACCGCATTCCAGTCTGAGTCAGCGAAACGCCTGCACCCACCACAGGGACCCTTGGGGGCCCTCAGAGTGGGTGGTGAAGACAGGCGCCCTCACCAGCTCTAGTGAGGTTCTGAGGCACTCTAGTGCTTGCCAGCGATGTATTTGATAGGTGATGCAATAGTAACTGACCTCAGGATTCTAGACAGGAATTAATGATGTCCATTAAAGCTTTCCACTTAGGACTACTCCCGGAGGCATTTTAAATGACTAGARGACATGGAAGAACCAATCACCCCCTTTATGAATCTTATTCATCCAGGCTGTCCAGATTCTCTCGGGTTGTTTCCCTGTGTAGACAGGCAGAGAATTGGACCGTGTCTTGTTCCCGATGATATTTGTAATTTTTTTGTACATTTAACAGAGAACCTTGAATTAAAATCAGTCACTGAGGTGTCTAAATCTGTATTAACTGGAAAAGCCAAGTTAAAAACTGCCACTTTCTATAAACATTTATAATTTGAACTTTAAAAAGWGCTATGAATTAATAAACTTCTGAATGTAAAGGTGATAAATTCAACAGTATGACAATTAAATAGCAATGATATTAGTAATAAAACTCACTTGTTGAACAACTGCATGCTGACCCTTTGCTCATTCCATCCTCACAGCCCTGAAAGACAGCTCAGGTCTTTTTACAGCTTAAGACAGGACATCCAGGGCTGAGCGTGTGCCAGACACCATAGAACTGGTGAATGCTGGGGGTCTGAAGTTTTGTATCTCTTCACTGTTCTTACTCACTAATGTGAATACATTTTAATGTTTTCTTTTGAATTTGGGGGGAAAAAATGACCCAGAGCTAGGTGTGTATGTAGCTCAATGGTAAGATTCTTGCCTAGTATGCATGAGACCCTGAGTTTAGTGCCTGCACTGCCAAAAAAAATAAATGACCCCAGAGACTTTGAGAAATTTAAGCAATGAAATTTTGTTCTTCAACATACAGTATTTCAAAATGACATTTGAATCTAAATTTCTAATATAATTATGACTTTTATTAAGATGTTTCTGTGAAGATAATTAGGGTAAACAAATGTGACATCATTTTCAATTGCATATTTCAGGTACAAGGTTAACTGCTTATATTAAAACTTCAGATCCTTGAAGTATTGAATAGCTAAGTAGCTCCTTCAAGTTTTGACAAAACAAAACAAAAACCCAAGCAAAAGCCGTCCAAGATAGATCAATCAGGGGGCACATAACTAAGGAACACTAAACATTCGAAAAGTCTGATGAGCTGAGAGTTCTCTACATATTTTAATTGATGCTATTTATGTTCCAGGAGATGAGTATGACGTCTGTGCCATTTGTTTGGATGACTATGAAGACGGAGACAAGCTCAGAGTCCTTCCCTGTTCCCATGGTAGGGGTAATTACTGCTTTAACTTGGCACACAGAGGGGTTTTATAGCTGGGTTCAGTGTTGCAGGGCGGGGACGCAGTTGTTAGTGCACCCCGAGGCAGGCTCTGCACTAGTTATTCGTCCACCTGAAGGTATTCTCTTTTTCTTGTCCCTAGACAAGAGCACAGATCACAACATTGAATACACCTGACGGGGGACGGAGTAGTGTTCCCAGCCACAGCATGCTAACTGAAAACATGCATTTTGTTTCAACAGCTTACCACTGCAAATGTGTAGACCCTTGGCTCACTAAAACCAAAAAAACCTGTCCCGTCTGCAAGCAGAAAGTTGTTCCTTCTCAAGGTGACTCAGACTCTGACACAGACAGCAGTCAAGAGGAAAACGAGGTGTCAGAGCACACGCCCTTGCTGAGACCTTTGGCTTCTGTCAGTGCTCAGTCATTTGGGGCTTTGTCGGAATCCCACTCTCATCAGAACATGACAGAGTCTTCAGACTATGAGGACGAGGACAACGAAGATACTGACAGCAGTGATGCAGAGAACGAGATCAACGAGCACAGTGTTGTGGTCCAGCTGCAGGCCAATGGGGACCGGGATTACAACATAGCCAACACGGTCTGACTTTTGGAGGTGACTGGTTGATTTATTTCCCTTGAAATGTTTACTTAGGTATGTAATTTGATTTTTTGCTCCCTTTAGAGGTTTCTGTAGAATTAACTTATTTTCTAGCGTTCTAGTTTAATCAGATTACTGAAACAGGCTTTTGATCGGTACTTATCTGCAGGAGTGTGCTTCCTTTCACTAATAACAGACTGGTGCTGTCACTCAGGCATCAAATGAGCTCTTTGGGGATGAAATTTARCCAAAACATTAAAAAAAAATCTCAATATAGCTTGCAGTTAAGACATAGATCACAGTATGCAAATGTTTTGTGCTTTACACATGAAGTCAGTCCTGCAGCCATCTAGCTCAAGCTAAGCCAACTCTCACCTCCACAAACAGTTACAAGTAGGTTGAGTTGGAATGTGTATTTTGGTGTTCCTTCAGATCGCCATCATTAGTGAGATGCAACAAAGTAACTTAGTATTTTTCCTTCTGTCACCACAAACTCTGAAGCTGTTTTTTGCTTTCCTATTCCCAAGTAGTCTGATCCTGATAGGAAAGTCTATAACTAGTGCAGATTTTAAGTTTTTTTTTTTAAGGGTTTAATACTATAGTGTTATGTACAAATTTGAATCAACAGTGAAGGTAATGTCTCTGGACTTTACTTACTGGATTTCAGTATCCTTAAGGGTTTTGTGATCAAAGCAAAAGAAAACGCTGCATAAAAATACCAAACTTAAGCAACTATTAACTCAGATCATATACCTCTTAATAAAGAGCATCTTATGCTAACTAGCCCTGCGAAACTATGTACAGAGAGATTGTTCAAGTATTGAATTCGAAAATAAGTGCTTATGTTTAACAGAACTAATGTATTGAAACAATGTATTATGAAAAAGTAAATTATATTATATATCACTGTAACTATATGTAGAAAATATAGACTTCTGTATAATCAAGACGCTAAGAATTTTTATACAGCCTTGTATGAGAGGTATTTGAATGTTAATAAACATGTTTTCCACTTTAAGAATAAGTAGATGTTTGTTCTGCTGTGCTACTACTTACCACATTAGCCTTATTTACATGCCCAGTACTGTAAAACTAAAGGGATAATGACTGAGATCCAATCAACACACATCACTTAGAACGTTGTATAGTGTGATGCTACCAGCATTTAGGTTAATCCATGAAAACACTAAAACCACAGCCAAAAATCATTCCAAAAATTAAGTGTATATTATGGYAATGATATAAACTATGTGCATCTTTGCAATAGACATACCTACCAACATGGGAAACTACATAAAATCATGTTGTAGAATAATAAATACAATATAAATAACAAGCCTTTTATTAAAAAWTATGCATTTTTAAGCAAATTTAACACTAGGGAGAAATTTCACTTTCTGAATTATTTTTATTTAAAGAAATTTTCATAATCCGCAAAACCCATAACCTCCAAGTGTTCACTTTCAAAAGTAAAAGGTTGAATTCAGTATGTACTGTCTGGATATTACCTTATCCTGAGAAGGAGGACATCTACAGATTTACCAGGGTGGTTAAGCAGAGGTTGGAATGTGGCGTAACTGTATGACCCTGGTCTTTTTAAACCTGTTCTATAGTGTGTAACTCTGTATTAGATATGGTATTCTTTTATTAGTTATTAACCCAAAATTCAGATGAAGGACATGGTTTAAGTTTTTCTGGATCAATTTTTTTTTTGAAATTTCAAATTAACTTTAGTTGTAAAAAAAAAAAAAATGTGTGCAGTGTCTTAACAGCATTGGCTAGGACTGTTACTTGTTCTTTTAATATCTATTTGAAATCTTCTATAATTTCAGTGTATGGATTAAGTTTTTTGAATAGGAGAGCAAATAAAATTTAATTTTTTTCTGATTATAAAAGTAATGTTATTGAAAACATTGCAATCAAAATAGTCACCTGGAAACTGAGCCCAGGCAGAAACGTGTGTGCATCTACCACCTTCATAAGTATAAGTACTATGTCAGCAGATGCTATACATTACACTTTATGCTCCCTGTCCCCCAGCATCCACTGGTGACCATGTTCTTGTGTCATTCCTCAATGACCATTCTGTCCTGGGGACACAAAATTCTGTGTCCAACCCATACCTCTGGTGCTGCCAAGTGTACTTGTCCTAAGTAATGCCATGTGATGAGACATCTGATAYACTAAGGTGTACAGCTCTATTTCCTCATGCTGAACTCAAAGATCTAAGTGTGAAGCAAAGTCTGCATGTATATATTTCCAAAAGTGTTCTTCTTTTGAAACTGCAGGCCATGTAATCACCACACCTAGTCACAATTTTTCATCTGCCCAACCATCTTTTATTCTTAACAGGAATCTTAACAGAACAATAAGCTGATACCAGGTTTTTATCATTTCACAACTACTAGGGTGTGTTTAATTACCAAACTAGTCAAGTCCTGACACCCCATATGTACAGATTTAGAACTAAAGCCTGACAACTTGTCAGAGAAAAAGCTTTCCTATGTACAGTATTTTATTTTAAGTAAAGAAGAGATTATCCTCTCCCAATATACTTTCTCTCTCAAGGACAGCATGCAGATCTGACTTTGATATCTGGTGACTACTTCGTGGATGCATGGAATCTCCCAGGGTAGATCCCTAGAAGCCAGAACTGACCCTGTAACAAGCTCCCCAGTTTCACTTAGATCCTCTAACTTTTGAACATCTACCATTGTAAGTTTCTGCTTGACATTACATGGTAGTAGTGATTTATCTAAAAAGTCCAAAATTTACATCTTCATTAAACTTTAGTACATATTAGGGAATTTACAATCTCCAGGCTTAGACTGTTTTGCCATGGTCGTCAGACATGTTGCTCCAAAGCTAGAGAATGCAAAAGCATCCCAATTCTCTTAAATGCTGTCAAAGTAACATCTTCTGCTCATAGGATGGAGAGTCCCAGCTGGCAGATTTTCCATCCTGCCAGCACATGTCATGTGAAGTCACATGACATTTCAACAGAGTCCACAATATTGCAACCCTTTTCAGTACTGAAGCCTCTTACTGCTTATTAGATTTCACATCTGGAGACCTATAGAGGAAAATGTTTTCCAGCAGATAAGTCAGTTTTCCTCACACAGCATGAGGACATCAGCCCAAAATGACTAAAGCCATTTTTTAATAGATCGAAGCTTATTACAACGAAATGCCTAGGTACTTAATTTAATGTTTGCAGCAGACTCTGGCTTATTCTCTTTATTCCCATCATGTTGAAAATCAACTGTAACAGTAAGCCGACAATTTACATAAATAACAGGAGTCTAGAGTATTTGGTTGGAATAAATTTATTTCATCTGTCTGTAAACAAGGTGTTTAATAGTTATGGCATTTTTTTAAATGCATATTAAATCAGATGAGTTAGACTGTATCCCAGATGTAACAAAGTGCAGGGAAAGAAATGGACAAATCAGCAACAAGATTTGTTTTAAATCTGTACATTATCCACAAGGCCCAAACAATAGAAGCAAATACTAGAATGTCCCTAAAGTAGTGCCATTCGAAAGAAACCCTTAATAGGTCAGTTAAAATCCATCTCACAATAGCAACAGTTCATTTTAACAATAGTATGGCACAGAATACATATGAAAAAATTCATCACAAGACAGCCAAGTCCACAATAATGCAACTTCATATAAAAACTCAAGCTGCAAATAAAAATTGGTCCTATGAAGAACAAACTGGACACACTCCAGATGGTTATGTTGGGAGACCTAATGTCCATAATGGCAGCCTTTTACAGTTTTACTAAAACAAGTAGAGCTGGTGTGCAAAGAAAAAGACAGGAACAACAATGTGAGCTATTGCGGTGATGGAATGTCCCTGGGGGTATGTCAGTGTGGTTACTGTGAGGTCGTGGGAGGAGTGCCTTTTGCTCTTGTTTTGCAGTTGCACTCTGCACATGTCCTGCAGACACTGTGAAGAGATTTGTCTACTCAAGTGCAACCACAATACTAAAAGCAAACTACTGCAGCTCTCAACAGCTCGTCAACAAAGGGGATATTAATTGGTTAAATAAACCAGGCACTGCATAAAAGAGGATGGAAGCAAACCAAATCCCTTATGTGCAAAGGGAGGGCAAGAGAAAAGAGGAGTGAAGGAGAGATGCATGCACTTTCTCCTCCCAACCATGCGCTACAAAAGGAAGACTAAGTGAGCCAAGTAAAGCTCAAAGTGCTGAAAAGACATTGATCAAATTAGAGATTGTACAACCGGCACCTTGCTTAATATTAACTTATTTTAGTAATCAATATCCCATTAATTGCTRAGACAAAGTGATGCCCAACTTGGCATGCCCCTCCCCCCAATTTCAAGGTATCATGCAAATCATTATTGTGCTGCAATTATGTTGCCAGTAGGGGTTGGTTACATACAGTGGTTAACTGACAAATGATCATTGGGCAAACAGGAACCATGACATTAGAAAGTAGGTAAAGAAAACTAGCTACCATCTATCTAGTCTGGTAGCAGATGACCACAATTGGGGTGGCGATGCAGACAGCTGCTAGGTAGATGGGGAGAGGCTGCTTACATATCAGACCTCCTCAGGTAGAAAGCGAGCTCATAGGCTTTCTTGTTAAGTGTGCCTCCGTGGACACCTTCCTTTCCCATGACTATAACCAAGGCTGGAGTACACAGGGAAACAAAACAAAAGTGAACAGCATTACTTAAGGAGGGGCGGGCAGAAAGAAAGACACCTTTCCCCACCAACAGAGGGATACACAGGAGACACAGGTTCATACCCCATCACCCTGCATTGCTAATAAAATTTCCAGAATTAAGACTTAAGCTTACCGCTAGGAAAGTTTAAGAGCAATTTCCCCTAATACTTAACAGTCTGCCTAGCAGCTAGAACCCAGAGTCTCTCAAGTATTTTGCCATTGAGTATGCCTTCTTATTCAATCCGCCTCCATGGACCCCTTCTTTTCCCATTACAAAGACCAAGACTGAAAGAGAAAGAAGAAAAGTGTTTCAAAAGAAGTGTTAATCAAGAAAGTCACATAAGTTTTAGCAGACAGATCCCTGATTAATAAGTTGACATTAAGTTAGTTTCCCATGAGCTGTCAAGCACTGAGGGCAAGTAGGTCTCCAGATGGGGACTTTCCAATCAGTGATACACCAAGAACAGAACATGGTAACTAGTACTGCAATACGGAACCCCATCTGCAGCAGCCTGATTCTACACAGTTATCTTTACACTGGTTAAGGAAAAAAAGTGACCATTTATCTTTCACTTCAGGACAAAAATTCTGGTTGATATGACAAACATGTATGCCCCAAAAATATAAACTTAAAAAAACTTTGGTATGTATTCACAAATTCTCCCCATATTTAAGGTTTCCTAAGTAGAAACTACTAAGTCATACAAGTGACACTGTAAATATGAATAGACATATCACTTCCAGAGGAAAATGAAAAACAAATTTTAAACAGCTTTTTAGTTTCATTCAGAAGAGGCCAAATTAACAGAAGTTAAGTTTTATGCATACTGATATCCTCACTCTGCTAGTCTTGTTTTTAAATGAGTCTAAATCCTGAAATAGACTATTTCTAACTAATACCAGCTTCTTTTATGATGCCATAGTGTGCAGGTATATGTCACAGTTCACACTCATTGCCACTAGATGTCAGTGTGGTTCTGTGGTATGAAAATCTAGGGTTTCCTAATCACGTGGTTGATTGACAGCTAATGTTGAGAGATGTCTACTATTTCAAAGTCATCTCATTTCCCTATAAATAAATACTCAAACATCAACTCACACCAAAATAAGAGAAGCTTGTAGGGCAATCACAGGCAGCTGGCAGGACCAGGGCATTACACTACAGTGCAGWGCCAGTCTCTTCGCACGGAAGAGTTGCTCTGACCTGTGACATGCTGACATGCTAAGTCTGCCAACTGAGGCTGTGGGAGTCCTGTTTATTTAAATATTTCTACAAGTTAATATCTAAATGTCCTTGCAAATCAATTATATGGCATAATAAACCTCAATTTCAAAATCTTTTTTTGAAAAAGAAAGATTTTTTTTTTAAGTGCAGTTATCTGCAGATATCAGAATTTTTGGACAAGTATAAACTAAACGTAGTTTCCTACTCTTCAGTAAATCTCAGACACACTTTAGTCTCTGGATATATTTTAATGAAAAGGACAACTCATTCTAAAAAACTCATCTAATTATTTCTCACTTCCTAAGCAATGTTCCTTAAAAAAAAAGAAGGAAAAAAAAAAAAAGAACCAATGTCAATCATGCTGCTTTATGATGAGCAAGCGAAAAAAGGACAAATGACTCAGAGGTAAAGCCTCACAGGGACGAAAATAAGCCAAACAATGGAAACTGCTCAACAACTGCACGCAGCACAGGACCATCATCTGATTTGTCCAGCGGCTGGAGAAAACTCTTCATTTTGAGTTTATGAAGAGCTGATACTAAACTACCTTTCAGAAGGAAGTSAGGATGACAGTGGCTCCGCTGCAAGGGCCACTGCTGTGACATGGGCAGACCTACAGCAGTGATTCCCTTCAGTGCTGGGCAGTCCAAGAAACCACCTTAACAGCCATTATGGACTAACTGTCATTCAAAATGCTAAAGAAACTGCTTATGAAGTTGTAATAAGGCATGCAATCTTTAACCACAAAAACACCTTGCTTACCTCTACCAGCTCTACCGACAGCGACGTTGTATGTTGGCTCGCCACCTTGACTCTTTGTCCGGATGTCCATTGTGCAGTCACCATCGACATATAGACTATCTCTGATCACTGAACACTTCTTTGCACCAAGAGTCAAACCGTTGGTAAAGAAGCCTTCCCGGTCTTTT